ATTTCCCCACCGCTTTATCCAGGAAATCCAACCTGCGATGAACAGGATCAATTCCTTTATTTACAAGGTGCATGCAATTGCTTTGCCATGCAAATGCTTTCAAAAGCACAGTAATGCCATCCCGCTATTGTGGGGGAATGATCGCTGCACCAGGACAAGCAAGCTAGGCTTTGATGGGTGCAGAATAACAGTGTTACAGAGCTAAGCAATGTGTGTGTGGGTGTGCTGCAAATAGGTTATTTTGGATGTTTTTTTTTTAGAAGAAAGGAGGCATTACTGAGGCCTATTGGTGCACCGAGGTATACTTCCAACCAAGGCGATTAACATGAAAGGAAATATCTAATGTTATTTTCCACCGCTGTGAAGAGAGAAGCTGAGAAAAGCCTGTAATCACATTATTATTTGTGTCGGAGATCAAGATCAATCAGGGTTAAAGCGTGTCACAATGTTTAACAATGACAATGGATGGTTGCTTGTGTAGGAGATATACACAACGCAACTGGATGTGCGATACTGGGGTTGGGGGGGGTAGGGTGTGGTGCTAACAAAGACTCAGTTTCTATCTTTTTTTGTTTCTCTTTGACCAGAGTTGTGTTCTACATTATACCTGCATTCTGATTCCATAAACTCGACACGCTCACACACACACACAGACACACACAGGATAACGTAGTAATGTTTAACAACTGCTAAAGAGTCTAGCAGTGTTTCCTAATAACATGCAGAAGGCAGGGGCACTGCTGGAAAAAAAAAGACAAGCGTAGAAAAGGCTTCACTCCCCTCAGAGGCCTGTACTGGAAACAAGGCAGCATCTTTGTGCTTGGGGAGAAACTCAAATACAGACTACATCAGCATACACAGACTAGAGAAAACATTCAGTGACACAAAGAGCGACACTTTTACAGTATGTACACAGTGCCTTAAAAATGAATGAACAGCAGACGAGGGCCAGAAAACAAGTGTGCATAAAAATGTTGTGGCTTTTATGATCCCTCCAGCAAACAGGTGCAACAAACCATTGTGTTCCTGCAGAAAGGGTGACTGCTAAGATTCAGTCACGCAATGTATCGAGCCGGTGAGCAAGCGAGCGGTGAGAGGAAGATTCAAACTTAATGAGTGCTTTGGCAGCTTGTGTGGAAAAGGCAGGGAGGCAGGCAGTGATTAACGGAACACTTCAGAGTACAAGGCACAGCGGTGCTCAAAGAAAACAGTGATGATCTCCACTTAATCGCGGAGAAGCCCGGAGCATCTGCCGCCAGAGCAGGGCAGCGGCACCGGCGAGCTCCCGCTCCGCTAGGCTGTCATCTCTAGAGAGCTGTGGCCATATGCTCGGCTCTGCCACAAACTCACAGGAAGTTAATTTTCTGACAAAACACAGGGATAAATATGACATTCAAACAAGTTGTGCTCAGCCAGGCTGAACATGGATGCCGTGCCAAGCTCAAGCTGCACACGTGTCACACTTAGGAACCGAGTTTATTTTCATGCTCCCACAGTCGCTTTTTGCCTAGTTTTGTAGAAATACAGACAATGGGTGGTACATTTTCAGCTAGGCGGTGTTAACCTACTTAGAGACTAAGCTATGCTATGTATACAGAGGAAAAAAAAAATTCATGCACACAAAAACAAACAGACCTATGGTATATGATACTAGCTCGATAACACCACAGCTACCGCAATAACATAGCCAATGACTGCTAATTCTTATCTAAATGTTTATATAAGGCAGGACATGGGGAACTATAGAGGGACTGTCCTATCTGCATACAAACACATCCCTCAAAACCCTGAGAAAATGACAATGTCATTGTCCTAATGAGGGGAGAGAGAGAGGGGGCAGAGACATGAGAGGCGGAAAAAAAATAAGATTAACTTTCATTTCCGTTCACAGACATGTAGCTCCCCACGGTGTGCCATTAAAATTATGTCAATCAAACCATTAAATAGGAGCTCTGGTCTAACCTTGTCTGTTGCAGGTGAAATGCCATAGCGGGCCCGAACAATGGGCTCACAGGTGTGAGCAGAATCCCAACACCTTATCACTACGCCAATAAAGAACAGAATATAGTGTTTCTCAGATCTCAGCAGTCTGCTACCACTCCATTTCAGAGGGTAAAGAGAAATGGAGCCTTAGGGGTGAAGCCAGCAGTTCCAACCTACAGATTCTTTACAACAATAGCCAGTATCGTATAGTGCGGAGTCTGGGGGATAGCTGGAGGTGGAGCAGCTTTTCTGGACCTACTGAAGGAAAAAAGAACACAAGGAGGCAAAAAGGATAAAAGAAGATGGAGGTTGGTGGTATACAAGAAAGAGTCCACGGTTTGGGCCTCCACCTGGGGCAATCAGAGGCCACTGGTACAGCTAGAATGATAAGAGAGGCTGACTCTGGGATACACATACCACCAGGTCCCATTCTCTAGTACTGCTGCTGAATTTCCCCCTTTCAGTATCCTTTGCTTAAACAGAAAGAGGTGAGGGCTGGATGCAGTCATGCAGATCCCAGTGGCCTTTATCAGAGACGAGAGGTGAGAGCTTTGGCCCCTGGGACTCCATACTGCTGCCAGGTGGCTCGGTACTGTCTACGCCCCCACCGCCCCCCAGTGTGAGGCCAGTCTCATATGAACTCTCAGGCCTCTCTTCTGGGAGTTGTCTTATGTTACTGCTGGAACAAGGCCAGAAGAACAACAGATAACATAACAAGAAAACAGCATTCCCATTTTAAAAAAAACAGCAACTGAACACTTCACTGTGGGAGGAAGGCAAGAAATGATGGTTGATAATACTGCAGTAAAACTTAACCATCTGTTGGTAGTTAAGATTTTAAGGAAATGGAATCCGAAAGGAACAGAGATAAATCAGATAGCACTGTGTGACTGAGCAGGTTAGAACTTGTTTCAGGAGACTTTGAAAGTCTCCATACTATGGATGTCATGAGAACCAATACTTTGGTACCAAGTTGATGCCAAACTTTTGAAAACATGAGGGTACTCGTTTTACTCCAAGTACAGGAAATGTAATTTTTCCAAACTTGATGGGACAGTATAAACGCCTACAAATGTTCTAGGCTACCACTAAATGCTATTGGTGGAAGAAGAACGCCTATCAGCATGGAAGATCAACAACAACATGTGGAAGACAGCAACAAGTGCAGCTGTAGCAAAAGCCCCGCCTTGACGCCTCATGAAGCATTTTTTCCAGAGGCAAGTGTATTTTCTTAATTCTTTGCAATGGGAATATTGTGTATTTACAATAATAATAAGCTCTGCACTTTCAGGTCACCAAGAGTTGATAAATGTTCAGCTTTGGGTAAATTGCTGCACTTGTCTCTGTCACTTTTTACCCAACCATCCAATCAGAATGGAGGAGGGGCGGGATAAATAGCCTACCACAAAGACCAACTGTCACATCTTACATGATTGATAGAACGATAGATAGAACGACAGAACGATAGATAGAATGATAGAACGATAGATAGATAGATAGATAGAACGATAGATAGAACGATAGTACGATAGAACGATAGATAGAACAATAGATAGAACGATAGAACGATAGATAGATAGAACGATAGAACGATAGAACGACAGATAGATAGATAGATAGATAGATAGATAGATAGATAGATAGATAGATAGATATGTACATACACTCCTTGGTGATGGCTAACCAACTGGACGTTGTATTGATCAACAAACAACAGAAGAAAGTACTGCTGATAGATGGAGTAATCCCGAGTGACAGCAACATCAGGAAGAAGGAACACAATAAGCTCAAAAAATACCAAGGTTTTAACGAGGAGCTAAAAAAAGATGTGGGGAGTAAAGGCAACAGTGTTGCCAGTGGCACTTGGGGCTGTGACCCCCAAACTGGGAGAGTGGCTCCAGCAGACAGCAGATTCCAGGTACAACATCTGAGGTCTCTGTTCAGAAAAGTGCAGTCCTAGGAACAGCTAAGATACTGTGCAGACCCCTCAAACTCCCAAGCCTCTGGCAGAGGACCCGAGATTGAGGAAAACAAGTGGTATCAAATTGGATATTGGTAATCATGGACTTTCACTAGTATTGGTATCAACTACTAAATTTCTCGTATCATGATGACATGCCTACTCTACTCTGACTTTAGCACAAGAGAAACAGAAGGTGATAAAAACAGGAAACAATATTTGGTCTAAGTGAGAGAGAGAGAGAGAGAGAGCAGAGTGAAATACTCTGCCACATAGGCTCTTTGTCTTTTGTTAATCCATCCATTACAATTTGTGGTGGGTGTAAAGAAAAAAAAAAGAAAGATGTAATGTGTAGCAATGCACTGATGTCACTGCGAGGGACTGGGAAAATCTGTCGAAAATATAATATATCCAGTACACATGCGCACAGAAGCACATGCCCATATATCAAGTGTTGAGTGGCAATCATTCACCTAGACACTGTCACATTAAATGGGCTTATTTTGCATGAGAAGGAAGAGGGAGCGATGGGCTGCAGCGAGCAAAAGAGGGACTGAGGGACTGAATCAAATGATATGAGTAGGCAAAATTAAGCTCCAATGCAAGTGGAACACTTCACAAGAGAGCCAATTTCAATTCCACAGCACTTAATTTAGGATTTGTATGGTTCAGCAGCATGCTACTGTATGGAAAGCCATGTAAGGACAGAGATAGAGAGAGACAACCAGCAAAGAGCCATCCAGGCCCTTGAGGTATCCATCACACAGGCCTGCCTCCATCGTTACCCTCCTCTCTCGTTCTCTCCCTCACACGCACGCACACACACACACACACACACACACAAAACAACAACGAATTAAAAACTAATGATATTATACTGTAGAGATTATGTGGATGTATTAAGGGGACATTAGGAAATCACACTGGTTTGAATGTAATGAGTGCACGTTTTTCTGCTGTTTTGTGTGTCATGCCACATGTAAGCATTTCAGATATTAATCATGTATGTAGTTTTGATTTCGTGATCACTGTAAACACTCAATCATCCTCCTCATACCTGGGGCTCTTTGAAGTCAAGCCTCTGGAAGTCATAGCCAAGCTGTGCGTAAAAGTTGTTCCCAAAACTGTAGGCTTGTCCAGTTTCAGTCCATACAAAGGAGTGTCGGCTTCCACAGGCCACACCAACTATGCTGACGACATCCAAATCTGTGTCGCTTCCTTTAGTGGTCAGTTCCTGTGGCAACTTAACCTGAACTGGCTGGTACTTTACTGTCCTCTCTCCGTCACCCAGCCTGGGAAAAGCACACAAACAATATAATTTGATGGTTTCTTCTCTGTCATGTTAAGGACACCATGATATTTTGTGGGAAGGTTTAAAGGGAAAGTTCACCCCAAAATTTAAAAATAAATATATATTTACTCCTTCCTGTAATACTGTTACCAATCTAGATTGTTTTGGTGTAAGGATTGCACTGATTATTCAGCCACACACTGGTATTGGCTGACATTCGCCTCGTTGACTGCTGACAAATATGTGTTGATTCATCGCAGGAGGAGAGCTAGTTAACATAATCTGTAGGCAGCCAATGCCCACAACTACCTGCTGATAGAGGTTGCATTGTGTTATATTAAGATGCGTTCAAGCTCTTTTCAGTACAAATGAGTATTATTTTAAAGGTTGTTTTATGAATGTATATGATTGAATAAATTTAAAACAGTTTAGTTACTTTTTTTTTTTACAATTAAGATTTCTCGGTTTCCCTTGCACAAAAGGGGGAATAAATAACGACAAAAACAATAAGACAACAATAACAAACATCGCTATCGGTTATCAACCAAATTGCTATTTTAAACATCAGCGTCAGCCTGAAATTTAACAATCCAAACATTCCTACTGTGGTGTGAGTTGGAAATATGGCTTTCCCTCTAATATAATGTAACCAGATGGCACTCAGCTTGTGGTGATCAAAGTGCCAAAAAATACATTTGAAAAACTCAACATCAATGTCCCTTTACAGAAATCATGATGCAGTTTCTCAACATAATCCACAGACCTTGTTGTGAGCAGTTTAATGTAGAAACTATTTTCTTTCTACCAAACTACACCCACTGACTGCATCACTGCACAGAGGGAAGCGTGCATCTACTGTTAGCTAACCTAGGACCACTATGCCAGCTGATGTTACAGCTCAGCCAAGAAACACAACATTGCTGTTTACATCTCACATGAGCACCAAGCCTCTCGTCCATGAGTAGGTGCACATTTCCTTCTCGGCAGTGAAACCGTTGGCAGGTATAGTTTAGTAAAAAGAAAATAGTTCCTACATGAAACTGTTCACAACAAGGTCTGTGGATTATCTCGAATAACGGGTCAAGATTCCTGGAAAGACACGTTGTTGTTGAGATTTTCAAACATATTTTTGGGCATTTTAAACACCACAAGCTGCGTGCCATCTAGTTCCATTATCTTCAAGAGAAGGCAGACATCTCTACGATTGATATCTACAACACTCTGCAATTCGGACCAAAACAATCTAGACTGATACACCACAAGTAAGAGGAAAATAACGTACTTTTGATTTGGGGGTAAAATGTCCCTTGAAAGAAAAAGAGAAATGTTATCTCTTGAGGGTAAATAACACTATAGACCCTGATAATAAATCACAAATATTTTTGATTTTGTAGAATTGTCATGCAAATAAAATACTGATTTACAAAAAAATGTTTAAATCAAAAACAAAAATATGTCATTATTTATGTTGAAAACAGGAAAATAAACATTGATTCAATTCTTTTTGTGCGATTAACATCTACAAGTAAAGTGTAATTTTAATGTAGGAAAAATCACTCTTTAGTATACAGTACACCCCCACAGCAATACTATGGCATTGTCTTTCCGTTGTGTTTTCTCTATACAGACAAGACTCATATATGGAGTGTGTCTAACAGGCATATTTCAGGGAGGTCACTTTTACGTTCCTGTGGAAGAAATAATAACTGAACCTAGCTCAATTTGTAGCTGTACAAATGACTTTACATAGGCCTTGGCTGGGAGTTGTGTTGCTGTCTCCATGTCCCCAGTGTGAGTGAACAAAGAACATCCAAGACCCCTTTTCAAGATGAGCTGGTCAAACGCAGCCCCAGCACCCCTGTGACCTGTGAGCTCCCAGCAGCTTCAAACAGAGCTCGGCTGTTTGCTTCTTGATAAAATGCTCCTCTTTGTATTTGTTTCCCTGAGCCAGCGTCATAACCTGCAATGCCCCGGCCATATCTGCTAGTTTGCGGCATGTCTGGGAAAAATAACAAACAGTCTTCTCCATTATTTCCACAAACGGGGAACGAAAGGTCCTCGCCCGCCATCCCCACGAGAGCCTGTATTGATTACAACAATGCTTCAACTCAAGACAAGACCACTCTGGGGTCACTGCTATTTCCATCAGAAAGTTTGCCAGTTTAAATTTACACAGCTCCCTCGTACTCTTCTCCTCACTCGCCTCCAGTGAGACACACAGGAGAGCTGAGGAGTTTTCAGATATCAGAGTGCCAGTTGTGTAACGGAGATGCTCACCCTTTGCTCTGCAAGTGGGTGTTATGGAGCTCCAACTATAGGCTCCTCCAACTATAAGCTCCCCACTAGAGAGCCTCGACCTGCTTAGAGGGGTCAAAGCATCATGAGAGAAGAGACAGAATGAGACAGACGGAGAGATGGAGTGCGAGAGAAGGAGAATAAGGGACAATGGGAGATGATGAGAGAGTGAGAAGTGATGCCTCTGTTTCTTTTATGTATTTCTCTGAGGTCTGCAGTGCTGCTGTTTGAGTACTTGAGGGCCACTGAATCACTGCAGCCCCCAGGCCCTCAGATGTCATTACAGCCAGACTGGCTTCTGGCTGGAGAAGTTTTAACAAGGAAGCTCATCAGGAGGAAAACAACTTGTCTCTGTGTTTGTTTGTCTATGTGCTGTAGTGTCTCTCTGCAGTTTAATATACAGCTGTGCAGTATGGCAAGAGAAGACAGTGAGGCATTTGAATGACCATTGGGCAGAACAAAACTGACCACAGATAGCTGAACTTTTATGGACACCTGAATAGTCCCCTAAAGCAAAGCAAGGGCAATGAAAGTCTGAACAGTGCTGTAACACCAAGAATAGAGGGAATACACACTGTTCACATGCTCATTTACATCTTTTTACTACTGTAATTAACTTACTGTCCACTGGTGCCATTTCCCCAAGCAAAGATCTTGTTGTCCACTGTGGAGAAAAGGAAGAGGACAATTTTAACACAGGTTGACTGAAATGGATAAGCAACGCTGTTAAATACTGTCTTAAATATGGACACTGTTTGAAAGGGTGTAGGGGCTATTGTTGTGAAAGTAAAAACTGGTTATCTTCAAAAGCTTTAGCAGTTTCACAGTAACAGCTTAGGTTGTGTGTTTTCCCTTTTGTCCTCAAGTGTAGAATGAGTGGTGCCGTGTCAGTGGGTGGACCCTTCCCCGCTGTGTGAAGTTTGATTAATACAGCCTCGACAGAGAGTTCAGAGACTGGGGCCACCTCTCACACACCCTGCTGTAAAATAATGAGCCTTCAGCGGGAAGGAATAATATACATGGGAGGGAAGAGACACTTTCTTAGTCTGAGTCCGAGCTGAATATATTCAAATGAAATGAGGAAGAGGAGGCCATCCTAACTGATTAGACTTGTCTCAAAGAGAGGGAGAAGCCTATATATTTCTCCTTCTATGTACATGTATTTAACTGTCACCTCTCTGCTCTAACAATCCAACGTGGCACTGATCCATTTGCATATGGTTTCTATAAATACCTGGACCTCTACCTGTTCTTGCAGTGATTCCAGTCATGTCGGAACACAGACAAGCTTTATTGGTCTTGTGGGAACTCAAACACCACAGGGGTAACAGCCAATAGCAACGGACTTTACTCATCAAGCCGGCAGAGTCCTCATACATTATAGAGTAGGCTATATGATTTACCTAAGCTTGTCAAAAGAGAAAAATTATCAAGCAAATGTGGGGTAATAAATTGTAATCCGTGCTGCATATGTTTGACTCGTGACCCTTGGCATTTTAAGGGTTGGGCTGTACGAAAGAGTTGCAGCAAAATGTGTGAAAGGAAATAACATTAAAGGTGAACTACCACTTGGAAACTTTAGGGAAAATGTGCAAAACAGGTCACAGATTTTACGAGAAGTACAGCGTGTTTCAAAGGACTTACACTATATGTTAACACAGGAACAAGAACGCCACACTTATTGTGACTTAGATGTTCCTATTTGCTCACACTACAAATTATATGCTACCTACTAATGCTGGCAGTGCTTTTTTTAGGTAATTACAAGAAAGCAAACAAGGTATTAATGTTCTTCAGAGGCTTTTATAGGCTGCCACTGCAGCAATCACACCACTGTCAACTCTTTTTTTCAGCTGTTAACTGCTCCATTAACATTACCTGATGTAATTTGAGACTCTTAAATAAAGCAGTTCTTTATAATTATATGTATTCAGTGAGGCCGTACAATATGAGGAAAATATGTGATATGCAGTAACATAACAATATTACTACAATAAATTAAAGTGCAGTCAGGTCTGTCTTCTGCTTTCAGTATACTGATAAAATACACAATGCTTGTTGAATTAAAAAAGTATTGAAACAATCTATTATTGAACAAATTGAACGCTGAGCTGAAAACAAACAGCACCAATAAAAAAACATAGTTCTGATTTTCTCTTTAAAAACTAACTAAAAAAATTCCCTGAGTGCAATGCCATCTGTAGGAATGTGTTTAGTGCTCACGTTGACTTCTAGATGACGATAAAAATAAATAAAATAATGTAAAATAAATATATTGTTCAGCCTGTCTTGTTTAATTATCTTTCTTTTGTTTTACTCACCTAAGTAAGAATGCTATATATTCAGACTTTGGGGTGGATTTACTTTTGACTATTGTTTAATATTATTTAATTAAGATCAGTCATTGTTGCTAATAATCTTGTCTCTAACAGTTTATGTGAGTGCGTGTGTATTGATTGGTACTCTAGCTTTAAGCTGTTTTATTACCATGTGGAAGTGTAACACTGCTTTGGGTCAGTGTGTTGTAGCAAAGAATGCATGAACTACTGTATGCACAGTATGCTGTAGTCAGCTTTGTTTTACTTTACTACAGAACAAGATAAACTTAAAGAGGCTGTAACTTCAGCTCCAGCTTGGGTATCAGAAAGAAGCACCACTAATAGTATGCTTTCATGTTATAAGCTTTTAAATGCTCCTGAACATACAGCTCACTGGACCAACCACAGCCATTAAGAACTACTGGTAATTTCCAGTCTGTGTACACTTGTCTGGTCGCAGCAATAATAAGAAACACTTAAATACTTTCATAAAACTACATCCATTAAAGGTTATGCTTTTAAACACAAGTATCCTTAAATACATCAGCACAGCAGCTGAGCGTGGGGGCTACGGCTGCTGCAGAGCTGTTACTGTCATGCATAAGGAATGCAGAAACTGTACAGGAGTCCAGGATTTAAGTTTACTTTTACAAGCATAAGAACCCTCGCTGGAATAATGAAATAAAGATGAGAATGAAAATGCAATGGGAATAAAGACTGTGACTGTTCCAGAGTTTTATTTTCTTGTTTTGTATTTTTTTTTGTTTTTGTTTTCTTTTGTTCTCGTACTTTTTGTTTTCTTGTTTTCGTTTTCTTTTGCTCCTTTAACTCTTGAGGATTGTTATGTGGGAGTATGATAAATAGCGGTGCTTAGAGTGTGTAGAACCAAAACACAAAAAATATTGGCAGCCGTAGGTCTGCTGCGATCGTCTGCACACAAGCACATTATTAACAGTATCTGTGTTTGTTAGCACCGGGCTTGGGTCAAACAGTGTACAATAATGGCATTTATAGCTTGAGATTATTTTCATTATTTTTTACAAAAGTGCATAATGGGTGGGGGACATAAAACTCCAGTTGACTGTTACAGAGTTAACTGTGGATGGTCAAAGTTGAGGATGTGGTTAGTTTAGCAGTCTCTCTTAAAACTGATTAGCAGTATTATTTGCTCCAGGTCTTCGTGAGGCCATTAATGTGTATTTATCCGAGTATCCAGATGCATCACCTCACTGTGATACCCCCCTCACTTTGTATCTTTGAGTCCTCTGTTATCCTCAGAGTGGCAGATGTTTCTGCCCCCCTCCAACCCACTCATCCACCCACCCAAATGGTTCTCTCTCTCTCTCTGCGGCAAGGGCAGCGGCTGGCGCGGGGGCACAGAGGCCGACAGTGGTGCATCAGGCTGACGTACAGAACTGATGGGCAGGGCTGAGAGCTGGCAGTGTGGCAGGTTGAGTGTTCACCCTCCTTTGCCCCCCACTAGCCCCCTGCTAGCCCCTGCTGCTCTGCACCATACCCAGGCACCAGCATCCCAGCGGCTGGTGGCCCATTGCTTTGCTCCCCCATAAAAATAGCCCATCCCATTATTCTTCTGCCTCCCCGGGGGCCACAAGGTCTCCAGCATCATTACCAGGACTAAGGATCTGACTCTGCTGCCACCACTTGGCACTCCCCCTCCTCTCCCCTCACTCCTCTAATTATAGGTCAAGCACTCTTTTTGTAAATTATAAAACCTTTGTTCTTATCAAGAAAACGGAACAGAAAGGAAAGATACCATGGAGGGAAGAGGAGCAAAGAAGAAGAGAAAGTAGATGAAGAAAAAGGAGGGAAATGGTGTAAAAATTAGAAAGGGGGGGAAAATTTTCAATTATAAAACCAAGCTAATTTGGTATGACCAGCGACTGTCATGCATGGTGACGGAGCTCCATTATGCAGTCATTTGAGCTCTTTCAAATTAGTTATGTTAATGTCCTGCGTGTGAATGTAACACTTGGATGGGACAAGATTTCAGCAATTAATTTCTACAGTCAGCGGAGAGACAAGCAAATTTATTTTCCCCCTCTCAGGGAATTGGTGGTGGAGGGAGTGAGGAGGGGAGAGAGCATTCTGGAGCAGGGAACAAGCTAAACACAAGACCTAAATAAAGCCTGAACAATGGGAGCCAATGCCTCCTCATTCATTCAATTGACAATGTTTTGCAGCTTAAACCTGTTTTATTAATTATGTTTGACATTTCCTTAATTAGTTTCATTTACACCAAATCAATCCCTGCTGCTGTACAGCGTCATTTATCATTTTAAAAAATTTGCATAGCCAGTGCTGACTTTTTCTACTTAATTATACATTAAAAGTGTCAGCCGCGCTTGCTGCCTGGCATTATCTGAGGCAGAAAGGTTTGTGGCTGGACGGGGGTGGCATTAATCATCAGGGCGGGCGCGGGCAAGGGGTGCTCCCGGTCGCCAGCGGGAGAGCCGAGCGGGGCTTCTCATTTTCAAAGCTTGATGCTTCCGGGGCCATGGTGACCTCAATGACCTACGGGGAGAGGCAGACAAATCAACGACCTCCAGCCCCAAAAACAACTACAGCTTGTTTATAAACCATGGTTAGACGGAGGAGGGAGTGTAACCAGCGAAAGAAAAAGCTGGAGGATGTGTAACCAAATCGAAAACATAAGTTGAGGAGAGAACAGTGTGTATGCAGGTATTAAAGGGATGGGTATATGTTTGGATCACACAGATTCCCTTTGAGCCTGTCGTGACATTTAAAAAGACATCAGTAAATTTAATCATTAGAGGAAACATTTTACAGCATGTGTAAGTAATGTTTTTTCAGACAAACAAGTAGCACAGGAAATTAATGAAAAGAAAATGTAAAATTGAAATAACTTTTGTTGTTGCAAGTTACAAATTGATACTAATGACCATATGTATTCCACTATTACTACAATCGCAACTCTGTTGACTGAGTCAACCGGAGTATGGCTATTACTTTCCCTTCGGCAAGTTTGTGAACACAGAGCAAACTGACAGCTCAAACACCTGGCAAGCTCACTCCTGAGTAAATCTTCTGAGTGTTGAGGTGAACATGGCTTTACAAATCACCCATTCAGAAACCGAGACAGAAATTGGCAGGTAGGCAGAGCCGTGGTGTCAGGAGTGAAAATTACTCTGAAATGTGGAGCACAGTGAGAGGCTGAGTGAGTGAGTCTCTGAATGGTGAAAGCTATGGGTGTCACTGTGTACTATGTTCACATGGGAAATCAAACAAGTGTATTTTGGAGGTGAGTCAACACTTTTGTACTTCGGAAAATAAAAATATTTGATGTCAATTTAAATTCAGAATGGCC